CAATCTGGATGCTTTTTATTTACTGAAGTGATTCTTTCAGTAAATCACTATGTTTTTAAATATCAAAACAAGTTCAGATATCTTGAAAATATACTGTTCTGAACTTAATAATATGTTAATCTCATACAGTCCTTGAAAAGGATTAGACTAGAAAAGCATAAAGTGTGAGGACTAACTTTGTATACAGAAACAGACATCCTATAGTATTTAAAAGAGAGAGAAATAAGCCAAGAGATTCAGGAAAGTCTTCACTGAGAAGCACCAAGTGCCTGAAGGAGAATTAGGACAGAGAGAAGTACAGAAAGCACCATAAGTAAAATAACATAGGGAAAAAAATAGGCATATCTGATAGAATATACAAAGTCGCTGTGAGTCAGAATCTTTAAAGAGGCAAGTTGTGGGGAAAGGAGTTTTGGTAATTTCCAATGCCAGATATGTTCTTGTTTTTGTCTTTGTTCTGTGTTGTCCAGTACATTGTGACTCACAGCGACACAATGTGACAGAATAGAACTGCCCCATAGGGTTTGCTAGGCTATAATCTTTATAGGAGCAGATCACCAGGTCTTTTCTCCTGCAGATGCACTGGGTGGGTTTGAACCACCAACCACTGGGTTAGTAGCCAAGTGCTTAATGATAGCACCACTAGGGCTCCTTCTGCCATCTATCATTTGTATGATATCTACAAAAGTCCACATGTGTGTGTATGTGTGTGTATTGGGGAGGTGCAGTGAGAGGCCAGAAGAAGAAATATAATTCGTAAAGATTAACTTGCTATGAGAGTGGCTGTGACTAGAAAGTAGAGGCTTGAGCAATTTAAGACTAAGACTATTCCACATGATCATATCAATTGATGCAGAAACTGCATTTCACAAAACGCAACAACATTCTTGATAAAAAACACTGCGCAAAATAGAAATGAAAGGGAAATTCCTCAACATAATTAAGGTAATATATACAAAACCATTGTCTAACATTATTCTCAATAGAGAGAGACTGAAAACATTCCCCCTGGGAAGGGGGACCAGACAAGAACGGCCTTTATCATAATGTCTATCCAATATTGTACTGGAAGTTCTAGCCAGCACAATAAGGCAATAAAGGGAGATAAAAGGCATCAAAATTGGCAAATAAGAAGTAAAACTAGCTCTATTTGCAAATTATATGATCCTATACATAGAATATCCTAGAAACTCAGCAAGAAAACTACTGGAATTAATAGAGGGATTCAGCAAAGTGATAGAGTATAAGATCAACATAAAAAATTCAGTAGGATTTTTCTACACTAACAAAGAGGAAATCAGGAAAACAATACCATTTACAATAGCCAATCAAAAGATGAAGTACTTAGGAATACATTTAACTGGAGACACAAAAGACCTATACAAAGAAAACTACAAAACACTAATACAAGAACCAAAAGAGGCCTACATAAATGGAAGAGTACACCATGTTCAAGGTCAGGAAGATTTAACATTGTTAAAATGTTCATACTATCCAAAGCATTCTACAGATATAATGCAATCTTGATCCAGATGCCATCATTGTTCTTCAAAGAAATAGAAAAACTAATCACCGATTTTATATAGAAAGAAAAGAAACCCTAAATAAGCAAAGCACTCCTAAAGAACAACAGAGTAGGAATCCTCACACTTCTTGATCTCCAAGTCTACTACACAGTTACACTAGTCAAAACAGTCTGGTATTGGTACAATGGCAAACACATAGACAAAGGGCCAAAACTCATTAAATGGGAAAGAGATATTCTCTTTAACAAAGGGCACTGGCAAAACTGGATATCCATTTGCAGAAAAAATGAAATAGGATCCACAAACTAGATGACTGGGACTTCTTAACAATTAAACATTTTTTTGTACATGAAAAGACTTCACTAGAAGAGTAAAAAGAGAACCTAGAGACTGATTTAAAAAATTGCAACTACATATAGGACAAAGGGCTCATCCCTAAAATGTATAGAAAACTCCAGTACTTGAACAACACAAAGACAAACAATCCAATTAAAAAATGGGCAGAAAACTCACTGCTGTCGAGTCAGATCCAACTCATATCAACCCCTTGTTGGGTTTCTGAGGTGGTATCTGTATGGAAGTAGATTGCCCAGTCTTCTTTCTGAGGAGTGGCTGGAGGGTTTGAACTTCCAGTCTTCCGGTTAACAGTAAAATGCCTTAGGTACTACAAAGATACTCTACCAAAGAAGACATTCAGGCAGCTAACAAGCACTTGAAGAAATGCTTGTGATCATTAGCTTATTAGAGAGATGCAAATCAAAATTTAAAAAAAATGAGAGATCATCTCAATCCAGTTTTAATAGCAAAGTTCAGGTGAGGGGCAGGGACAGAAAAGAACACATGCTGGCAAGAGTTTGTAGAGACTAAAACCTCCTGCTGGTAGGCCTGTAAATTTATTCAACCAATTCTGTGGAAATTGTGGAAAGCCAGATGGAGCTTCCTTAAGAAGTTGGAAATAGAAATACCACATAATCCAGCAATCCCACTACTAAGTATATCTCCTAGAGAAACAAGAGCCATGGCATGAACAGATACATTCATACCCATGCTCCTCACAACATTATTCACAATAGCAAAAAGATGCAAACAACCTAAGTGCCCATCAAGGCATGAATGGATAAACAAACTATGGTACATACACACAATGGAATGTTATACAAAGTTAAAGAATAACTATGAATCTGTGAAATGTCTCATAACATGGAAGAACATGGAGTGAAATTAGTCAATCATAAAGGGTCAAATATTGAATGAGACTATAAAAAGTCAAGAAAAAGTTTACACACAGTGTGTCTGTATGTTCTGTAAGAATTCCCGGGTATATGGTAGAGTTTACAAGTGACAAGATTGTAGCCACTTAGCCACAGCCAGCTACCCAGAGGGAATGAAGAGTTGGACCTGTGGGCTCGGGACCATAGTCATAGGGAGCATCAAACTCAATTGGCATAACATACTACACAAAAACATTGCTCCACATCGTACGTTGATGAGTAGCAACTGGGATCTTAAAAGCTTGCAAGCGGCCATCTAGATGCAATGATGGGTCTCTCCTTATCCAAAGAAAAGAAGAATGAGGAAAACCAAAGACACATGGAAAAAATTAGTCCAAGTAACTGGTACACCATGCGATCCTCAGCCTACATGACTGTGAGACCAGAAAAATGATACAGTGCCCGGCTACCATTGTCA